CTGTCCATCAGTCGTACAAGGGAATGTTCAGACCAAGGGACAGATGGGGCATGAATGCATGGATGGTAAAGTACGTTGACCACATAACAGTGTTTAAACCACTAGGTCATCTTCAGTCCATGCATTACGCTTTTCCGGGATGATGAGTAAATATTTTCCCCATAAAAAGACAAAAAGTGGGGGAATGTAGTAGGAAGAGAGCCTGAAACATAAGCCCTTGTATCAGAGGCCTGGTATGAGGCCTGAGCTAAAGTAGTGGTCAAAATTTTGCTAATATAAAGCAAAATCAAGCTGTGAGCTAGAGGCAGGCCCTGCTCATAGCATCCGGCAAGAACAGGGCTGATATAGCAAAAACACATATTCCTAAGAGGTGCTAGGCACAGCGCACTCACGCAAACGCATTCCAGAAGGGTGGTACCAGAACACCTTGATACCAACACATTTCCTAAAGAGAACAGGAACAGGCGGACCCATCCCAAAGATAAGGTCAGGATGACAGTGTGATGGATAGAGATGTACAAGGTGATGGGTGGTAACCAGCTATGTCAGAGGGGCAGCACGTAACTTGTTTGTATTGATGTATAAAATGGAGTCTCAGAGAGAGTGTCTTTGGCTGGCCTACGGGATAGTGGAAAGTCCCGCCACTAACTGAGCTAGTCCATTGCAACGGGCATACATGTGTTAGTGTACCTGTAACCATTGAGCCAAGGCATTAGGTCCAGGCTTCGTTGACAATAAACTCGACCAAGTACCTTTGCTGAAAACCAAATCTGTGGCTTTACTGGGCAGTTCAATCAGAGCCTGCTATACAGGCTATCTGGCCAGAGTCAGTACAGCATGTAGAGAGAACACACACACGCAGCCAAACATCTGACAACATCTAGCTGGTGGGTTTTGTCCATGGTCTAACTGATCACCATATTTGAGGTTGGGAAGGAATTTTCTCCCAGGCAGAGATCCTGTTGGTTTTTCGCCTTCCTCTGCAGCACGGGGCCCGGGTAACTTGCTGGTTTGGACTAGAGTAAATGGTGGCGTCTCTGTCACTTGAAGTCTTCAAATCAAGACTTCAGTAACTCAGCCAGAGGTGATGGGTCTATTACAGGAGCATATGGGTGAATTTCCGTGGCCTGCAATGTGCAGGCGGTCAGACTAGATGATCATGATGGTCCCTTCTGGCCTTAAAGTCTATGAGGTTAAAACAGAGATAGCAAGCTGACAAGAAAAGGATAGCATTGCTTAATTGAAACTCGCACTAAATCATTTAAGTTTGCCACCAAAAAATTCATCTCTTCTCTCACCCTTTAATTTATTCAGATATTTGGTACTTCTCTTTTTTCTCTGAATCCCAAATGAAACAGAGGAAGTGGGCAGGAAAATCTAATTTTCTCTATCTACTTGGAGCAGTCCATTTCTTTCAAAACATGGGATTCCTTTGATAATACAGGCCACTTCTAAAAATAAACTTATTTAAAACAAAAGACCCTTACTCCAGAATAAATCAGTGTGTTAAGATACAGAAAGCCTCCTCAAGATAGCACCTATCAGAAGTAATAAGCATAAAATCAGAGTTTGCTTCCTATCTCCAAATGAGATTTTGTTGAAGTTGTTAATTTTTGTCACAGAGAATTCTCTATTTCCTTGACCATTTTCATAACATAATATAAGATTATAGTTCATAGAACAGAAGTATAATATTGGCTCATGAGATACAAAATGCTACAACATGCCCTGGTGGGCATCTTGTTTTAATTAAAGAAATGGAATATGCTATACCTGTCTGAAAATGCATGAAGAAATTGAACACAATTAAAGAGAAAAAGCAATTAATCTAAAATAATGGGGGAAGTTATTTTGGTAGCAATTGACATAATTTCCCTTTAGGGAATACAAAGTCTGTCCTGCTTTTTTCCCCACTGGGAAATGCAGGTTAGCTAGCGGAAGTTTTGTTAAAAACAAACTAATGAAATCCCATACAAATCCCTTCTTTTCCAAAAAATCCCCTAAAATCCATAAAGAATGTCTGCACTGTCAACTGCAGACAATAAGATTGATTCTATAGAAGGATGACGTGGGACATTGTCAACAGCCATAACTCCTCCACTGTGAGATTATCAGAGATAAGGTAAGCAAGCACTGACCAGATCAATACTTGGATGAGAGAGCTCCTAGGGAAAAAAACAGGTGTGACAAGCTTGGTGATTTATTAATGAGGCACTCTGTCCTCTGAGATGATACTTGACCAGTGCTCCAGAAGGATATTAGAGGAGTATTCTGTTGCCAAAGGCTGCTGTCTTTCAGATGAGATGTAAGACAGAGTTATTAAAAATCCTACGATCCTTCTCATCTGCCCAAGAGCAGTGGAGTTAGCTTGGGTGTCCAGACAAATTCCAAATTAGGTAATGACACTCTGTTAACCTAAAGTTTCCATTGCCATTTCATTCAAAGAAAGCCTTCTTCACTTATGGCCCTCACCTGTTATGCTGTGTTGATGTGTGCTCATAAGCAGATGCTCTGTTTCACCCCAGAGGCGGCTGCTGTGCACTTGTGGGAAGCAAAGTGATTCCAGTGGAGTTTATATGCTGTATAAATTAGTTAATAAAGTTTGTGAAGCATGTTAGAATCCTAAAACTCTATACAGTAAAGTGACAGGAAATCCCCAAACCATCAAGCGAAGGCTTATCAACTGGGATATATGGGTCCATATGTGCTCCCCAAAGAAATGCCAAATGGTCTAGTTGGCAGCAGGCAGCCAGCTGCCTGAAAGAGAGTGAGTGAGTGTGTGTGTCATGTGGGGAGATACAGTACAGCAGCTAGAGAAGACCAAACCTTTCCACATTGGTTCTTTTAGCTTGCACAGGCCTTTTCCCCCTGTTATTTTAGGCACTATGGGCAGAGTAAACCATTATTTTCTTGTTTGGATCTTCAGAGAGTAGGGCATTCTTTGCATTTTTGTTTTAAAATCGATCGCCAACTCACCCACCACTTGCAGGGTAATATTTTCTAAATCACCATCATGACTTAGGAGCCTAAGTTACATTGGGTATTAAGTCACTTACATGATTTACCTGCATAGTCTGCCCTGTGACCAACCAACACTCCAAACAGCCTGTCACAAGGACTTCTTAGAAGACTCTGGTCCAATGGAGCTTAGCTACATGAACAGTGCTCTGTATAATAACTCTGCTATTGTTGTAAAAGACTTTTCTTAAATACTATGATAAAAAACCCAGTTAAAATAATTATACAGATTCAAACTGTCCACCTGGGAAAGGGTGTTGGGCAAAGGGAGAGACAAATGAGGGAGTGCAGCTATAAGAACATAGAAATGGAAAGGAGACTAAGAAAAATAATTTGGGAGGAAAGAGGTGAAGGGCAAAGACAGATAAAGATTTGTTTAAGCCAAAGAAGAATATTAAAATAGCACATTTCTAAGTAATGTACACAAACAGGCTTTAATCCACTGTATGATTCTAGTTACATGAACATTCCCATCTGCAAGAATATTTACCTTTCTCAGCTACTTTATATCTGAGGAGTAAGACATTGAAGAGTTTATTTTTTTTCCAAATTAGCCAAATATTTCTTATTTCCAAATGAAATATACTAAACTTAAAATGAGCTACAAAGATATTTCATCCTGCTACTCTTAACAATCACACAGCAATTTTCTGAAAAAATAATCTAAGTTAGTATATAGCTAGAAAAGACAAGACTGCTGTGCAATTTACAGGGATAGGTATTCACATTATCACTGCATTACACAAGTCAAGGTTTCATTTATTTCACTTCCTTTTTCAATCTGAAACAAAATATAAGAAAGGCAATGATACTGCTCATTAGGATTTTGCAACTTTTTAGAAAAAGACCAGAACCCTTCCCTGCCAAAGTATCAACATTCCAGCGCTCTCATAACTTTGCTTTTGGTTTTCACAGACATTATTCCATTTTTATTTTATATTTGCAGAATATTACCTGCCACTTGACTTTCAGGAAGGTCATCATGAGATCACACAAACAAATCCACTCTGTTCTCACAACAGACCTTTTTCAAGTTCTGCTTGAGAAAAGAGATGACCTTTAATAGCTGCGTGTCTGTCATATAATCCTGACCTCCCTTTCAACAAAATAAGCAGGATTCCTAGCTGCTGTCTACTGCCTTTTCTGACTCCACATACACAATATTTTCCTTTGAAAGCTGCAAATTGTTGCTCTTTAGATTCTGATCCAGGTATTTAAAGAAACACTAGGAGCATGAAAGTCAACAAATTTTTTCCCAAGAAATACTGCTGTACAAAAATATATGAACCCAGAGCACGTCCTTTTTCTGTGTAGGAACAAGGCCATGGTGTTCTAAAGGCAAAATGTACTCAATAATAACAGAATAAACTCTCTACAACATTTTTCTGTGCTCCGAAAAGTGCCCTTTGGCATGGTGAACACTGTACACTTAAGGGGCTGAGACCAGAAATAGTGGATCTGTTCTTTTAGCAGCTTAACAAAGGGCTTACCTACACTGGTAGTTCGGGCGCCGTAAGCCAAGGTGTGAATCTACCACACACTATCTTGCCCCTCACTAATTTGTCATGGCAGGCATAGTAAATGTTTCATGGGAGTACATCAAAGTGTACTATACAACCTCCAGTGTGCGGTAGGGTGCATGAGGCCATTTAGTGCACAGCAAACTAGTGCGCTGGAGATTCACACCCTGGCTTGCAGTATGTTAACTTGCCATGTAGACAAGCCCTTACAGTGGGTTTGACTCAGAAAACATGTGCCTAGGATCTAGATTGAGCTGCAATTTCTATATATAAGGCAATGTACAATATGCCTGTATTAGTTACCATGGATGCCCCTTTATTAAAGGGGTCAACAGCTTCAGATAGTGCAGACGTGTGTCTGACGGGAATCTATCAGAGAGAACGAAAGGGCAGATATTCAGTATCCTGCATATGAGACATTCTGTTGATATGAAGTATAATGCAATAATAGTGACTTCTTACTCTTCTAAAGCTTGAAGCATGTTCTTGGAGTCTTCAAAGGCCAGTATCTCAATGATTTGGTCATTCATAATGATATCTTCATTAAAGGGATCTCCTGAATTAAACTGTGAATACTCCAGTTTGTGATCTAGAGTAAGATCATATCGTATCTCCTAAGTAAACACAAAAAAGAAACGTTATATTATAGCAGATCAACCCTTAGTGTGGATACAACTCCTATTGTCGTCAGTGGAAAGACTCCCATTTACTTCAGCAGGAGTTTGTGTGGATGCTACGTTTTGGTATATAACTCAGCAGGAACCTAAATGATGAAAACAGTCAATGGAATTAAGGCTCTTAGCTCTTAGGCTCCTAAATCAGTTAGGCATTGCAATGCTAAGCACTGCAACACCTAAACACCTTTAAAACTTTGGGCCAAAGCCCACTGAAGTCAATAGGAGCCTATCCATTGGCTTCAATAGGCTTTGGACCAGCCTCAGTGAGTTATTTTCCACTCAATCTCTAGGATCATTCTATTTGTATTATGGTACATACAAACTTTTATATACACTTGTTGAACAAAATCACACATAATTCTATGTTTGCAGTGTTGTTGTACTCATGTTGGTCCCAGGATACCAGGCAGGTGACGTGAAAAGGTTGGTGAGGTAGTATCTTTTAAATGGGCCAACTTCTGTTGGTGGAAGAGACAAGTTTTGGAACTACACAAAGCTCTTCTTCCGCAGACCTAAAGAAGATCTCTGTGTAGCTTGCTTCCATCAGCAGAAGCTGATATGAAATTCTATGAAAGAGGAAAAACGATTTCACTAGTATACAGTACCTATGGAGTCCCTTGAGATTAAGGTTTACTAAATTCACCAGACAAGAAAACCTTTATAAACTTCTGGTGCTGGGACGATTCTGTTACACTTTTATGATTTCAGCATCAAGCCTTATTCATAAAAGGGAGACTGATGTGAGCTATTTTCACTTACTGTGATTTCTTCTGAATTAAGAGAAATCAAAAGGTTAATAAGAGACATTTTTCAAACACGATGCTCACTGATAAGTATGGAACTTTCTTTCTCTTAGTAAGCCATTATTTTACAATAAATACAATCTTTATTGTAAATTTAAATAGGATACATGTCCATCCTTCTCTGTACCACTTGTAGGACTCTTCCAGCAGAAACTCATGAGACACAAAAGTTAAAAAAGACATTGAAAGAATTGTTTAGAAAAGGTGAACTGCAAAGACAAAATAACAGTACATTGTTCCCTCCCCTCCCTTTGTTGCTCCTTTCTGATATATAAAGATGGCTTTGCACGCTTTTTTCTTGAAGGTTTATTCTGTCATGTGGAGGATTATATTTGAAATATCAGATCATCATCTCCAGGTGAACCTTAGTCTAAATTTAGGTCTACAGTTGCAACGGTACCTGGTACATGTGCATTGGGAGGTTTGGGTGAGGGCCTGCCTAGGTCTGGGAAGGGAAACGGAACTCTTTCGTTTGTCTGAGGAAAGTCAGAGTGTTCCATTCTCCCTGTGACCACTGCAAATGTTTATTACTGTTCCCAGTCCCTGGTGTGTGGCCTCTTCCTGTGCTGAGCCACTCTGCAGAAGCCAGGAGAAGTGGGGGTGGGTGGCTGAAGCATCCGCTCTCATAGTTCCACAAACACAGAACCACATCCTTTAGCTATGTAGAGGCAGCTGGCTTGTGGTGCTAATCCAAAAGTTCTGGGAAGAAAATACACTTGAGGTGCTATGTTTCCATGTTCCTTTCAAATATTGTTCACTGGACACAGGAGCCAAGACTTTTTGGTGATGAAGTGGGGGGTGGGAGATGTGTTGATGTTCTCTGTGGTTCTTTGTACCTCTTCCGTTAGCTGAGAATACAGTCAATTTCCTCTCGAATTGCCTCCCAGTCCTGTAAGCATAATTCAGCAAATTTTCAGTGTAGAAGAAATTCAAGCTGGTTCTTCAGGTTTAACAAAAGGACAAATGTACTCGGTCCACCTTTGTAGCTCACCACATCTCTCCACTGAGCAATATGTACAGGGTTGACCACCAGCAGGAACATCTCTCCGGCACTGGTGGCTAGGTGTCCGCCACAGGACTGGAAACCCACTTCTCTTTTCCATTCCGGTACCTTGAACAATTATGTTCTCCAAATGATGGCCAGCCTTTAATGAAGAAATAGGTAACTAGTACAAGGCACTGAACCCCACACCAACTGGTCCCTTGATGCACTGTAAACTGTGCAACATTTTAACAACTGTACTTCACTTTAGGCTTAGTTGGTTCCTGGTAGGCTACAAAAATAGTCTGAAGGAAGGAGGCTGTAACAGTAGCATTTCTGGGATGCTAAAAAGTATCAATATTGTGGCTTTTGGCAGCAAAGCTACGATATGTCGCGGGGGAGTTCTTAGGTTTCTTCAAAGGAGAAATGACAGAGAATGCTAAGCTTGTGTTTGACTTGCCAGGACATTCCAATGCTAACAGGGAACCCATTCCGCCAGAAGGGCAGGAATGGCATTGCAGAGATAGCAGAGGAAGGCTGAGCAGGACCCCGGAAGACCTGCTCGTTGGCACTGACAGAGGAGTCAGGACCAATTTGAGTGCCTTAGGGCAAGGGAGGATTGGGTTCTTAGGCAGGAGGACCTTAGACATTTGTCCATCCCGTGCTTTGCTGCACATTGGGCAACCCACATTTGCCATCCTTGCCTGTCAACTGCCCTTCTCTCCAAATCTTCCCATTTCATGTTAAGGTGCTTGATGTTGTTCAGAACTGTTCGTTTCCATGTTATTCATGGTCTTCCTCTCTTTCTTCTTGCGTTTTCTGGGCTTCCATTCAAGGGTGGTATTTGGTAAGTGTTCTTTTTCCATTCTCAGCACATGTCCCAGACACTGATGTATTCTTTTGTAGGTTAATCATTAATATTTGGAGGATTCTCTTGCCATGCTCTATTAGGCTCTATCAGACATTTAAATTATTTTATTTAACTAAAACAACAACGTTATGTATTCTGGATTTTTTTCTTCAACAGCAAACATATAATATTTTAACAAAACAAGCATATGAATTTTTGAATTTAGTTAAACATTCAAGTTTTTTAAAAGCAGGTTTATTTTTTGTTAAAATTGTTTTTAACTAAAATAGTTAATGAAATATTTTTAAAAAATTAAATTGATGACGTCAGCCAGGTCAACATGAGAAACTTAATATATTGGCTTCTGCAGCTAACTCAGTCGTCTTCACCTTCATTTTCCTGTTCATAATCTGGAAAAGAAAAACAAGCTTTCCTGCTTTTTCAGGTCCCAAACAATTTCTCAATTTGGAATGAATTAGTCCAAAGGTAGAAAATATTTTTTCTACTCTGGCAGAAGAAGCTACTGCTGTTAAAAGTGAGATTATCACTTCAACAGTCTCTCAATCCAAGTTGACCATTGACTTCCACCAATTCACTGGTGTGACTTTCTTTAAAACATCATCAGCAAACATATATTTCTTGAATGGTGAAATTCACCCTGAGTGCTGAAGTTTATTATAGTTGGCATTATGGAGGGATGATTGCTGGATGTCGATGTCATAGCCAACTCCTCTTCTTCAGCAGTTAAGGTTTGACGCTGGTACCGAGTATTGAGAAAATTTTCAAGAAAATGAGCTGGAAATAGTGCTTGTCTCATTCTTTTTTTTAATGCTTGTAATTTAACTCTTTCATTACTTATTTCTCTTTTTAAGATCTCACTCAGTTCCTTCCAAATTTCAACAGCGTCAGCAATAATACAGCTATTTCCCTGCATTTTGTTCAAGGCTACAGAAATAGGCTTCAGAGTACTCAGCATGTGTTCAACATTTCTCTTAAGCCCAGTGTTGAGAACTTTGGTTGTGACAGTGCCATCTATTTTTTCACGATTTTGTTCACAAACTGTCATCAGATTAGGCCAGTTCTTGATATAGTGCTCAAAACAGTCCACTACTGAGTTCCATCGCACGTCTTGTGGGAGAGTTAGCTTGGTTCCTCCCACTTTTTTCAGAGCAGCAGCTGCAAAGTGGTTGTTACGGAAGTATTTTGTAATTTCAACAACATTAGCCTTTATTTCTGGAATAATGAAGTCTTTGGCTAGGAGGTGCATGAAATGAGCACTGCAACTGTATGTTATAAACTTGGGACTCTCTTCTAAATAATTTCTTCTCATCTTGGATACATCTGCAGCACTGTCTGTGACCATGCATACTAGATATTTGGATTTTTTTTCACAGATTATAGCTTTTACTGCTACTTCTTGTAAGTATTCTGCTGTGTGTGCATTTCCTGATGTATCAATTGTTTCTGTAAGGAAGACATTCCCTTCTTCTGTTGTCACACAAGCACATAAAACAGGAGCATTGTAGACATTGCTCCACCCATCAAGACTCAGGTTTACAATTTTATCCCCTAGACCATTTGCACACTGCTCAATTTCTCTTTCATACACTTTATCCAGCAATTTGCCTGCAACATCTGCTCTGCTGGGTGGACTGTATCCTGGTCTTAATGACTGAACCATGTTAATGAAGTGTGGGTTCTCAATCATATGGAAAGGAGAGTTTGTTGCATAAACAAACCGGGCAATTTTTTCATCAATTACCTCTTTTTGTAATCTGCTGGTTCTTATCACAAACTTATCTATGGTTGTTTCTGGATGATGGAGATTTTTTTCCTTTTTGCTACAGGTGATATACTGTGGCTATGTGACATACATGATGTGACTGAAACACTATCATTGGCAGATAACTCTGAAACTATAGAAAATGATGGTGATCTTGAAGGTGGATAGTCTTCAGAATCCTGTTTTTTGAGGATGGATTCTCCTAAACAAAATAAGTCAATGCAGTTATTGAATTATTATTACCATACTGCTTATTTAGTATTACTCATTGCATTCAATGACACTCAGTACTACTTTAAAGGTGAAATTGTAAAAGGAAGTTCTGCCTACTTCAGCTATTTATTTTTTAATCACAAATGCATCTAAAATGATAGTACCATAGAGTAACAACTATATTTTTTGCTCAAACATGAGAATTCAAGAATAGTCCAGAAGGAAGACAGGCAGTCCTTAAGAAAGAAGTATGAAATGAAGTTTACCAACCTGAAGATCCTGCATGTTCAGACATGTTCCGTTCACCATCTTCAATGCAGCTTCCTCCTGAGAAGGAACACTTCTCATGTTGTTTCATTCGGGCAACCAGGCCCTGCATTTCTTTGTTGCACTGTTTGCATTTTGCACACATACCTGTCTTACCCACAGGTAGAGGAACTTCATTAAAATATTCCCAAACTGGGTCTCTTTTACGCCCTGCTGCCATTATAAGTTTTCCCTTTTAGTGAGAGAATGGTATGGTAGATCTCAAATCAATGAAGGCTACACTCAGAAAGACTTCAAGACTTCTGGAATATGCTGCTCAAACAGTTTCACTTTTGTTTCTACTGCCTGTCCCTCCCTTCTCACATTTATCTCCAGACTTCTTCTCCTTGTCCAGATCTATTCCACCCCCAACAATCTTCTATTCATTGAACTTTTTGAAACTTTGCACTTTTAGAGAGAAGTAAGGAATTGATTCTGTGTACACAAATTTGCAGAGGGACAATAGGGTTGAGGTCTACATATTATTTATTTATTTTAAAACATTTTTGCTGCTTAACAAGCATGTTATCTCTGGAGACACAAATCCACAGTTTGAGAACTGCAAAACTAAGCATCTCTGATGGTATCATTTTTTCACTTACCTGGGGGGGGGGCGAGCCCCAAGGGGATCTCGCTTTTGGCTTACGTTCTTATGTATCTTCTAGACTGAGCCCCATTGGGTAGATAGAAAGATTAACCTAAATAATCTATACAGAAGCCCCTGGAGCCCCATAAAATTGGGTCCCTAATCCAGGAACTATTGGAACTCATTTACAAAACTTTTCTTAAACATTACATGAATATATTGCCTTCTACTATAGAATTAGAATTTATAATCCCTATTCCATGATGAGATATCTTTGAGCTATAATATATCTTATTTAAAATGATCTTTAGATAGGTTTTTTCCTCAAAAAGCATTTTATCAAAAAAATCTGATTTAAATCACCCTGTGAATAGGTGAGCCACAAAGAAACATCATGTTAAATCTTCCAGTTTAGGAAATAAGTCACAGTCACTCCTCCAGGTAGTGTGAAGGAGATATGGGTTGGCTTTAATACCACCTCCCTCCTTCCAGGCATAAACCTCACATTTGCTCAAACCCATATACATTTACATAGCTTTCCATCAAATTATCAATAATCCCTCATACTCATTTGATAGATTACAGTATACTGTTAAATTTTGAGGCCACCAGCAAAATCCACACTGTAAGCAAGGAAAGAACAGCTATTTATCTATTATCAGCATGTCTAGATTAGGAAAAATAATCATGTTTTAAAATGTGTTAACACATACTGTAGACATGGATTAACACTTTTAAAATTTGATAGATGATTATGGCCAGTCCTAGATTCCCCTCTCTAAGGTTGACCATGCCAAACACAATGGAGCTATACAGATTTACATCAGCTGAGATTCTGACTGAATATCTCAATTTATCTTTCCACTGCCAACTTTTCAGAATTTCAGGCTAGTCACTGTATTTCTTAACTCTGGAAACCATTTCGAGATACCATTTATGAGAAGATGAGATAAAGTTTTATTGTAGAAAATATGACTCACCTGGTTTTTATTAAGGAAACTCCATTTTAATCTTCTAGTTTGGTAAACAGCAAAAAAAGCAACGCATGTTAATACAAGAGAAATAACAAAAGCAACGAAGAATCCTGAAGCATGGATGCCATGGCTGTACAAAATCTGAAATTGAAAGAATGTAATATGTAAACCACATTTCTTCCCAGAGTTACATATGCACAAAAACCAGACACAGATTATAGCTGTAAACAGTACAGTATGTTACTTTTAACAATCTTCACAAGAATATGGAATTACTAAGTAGTAAGACATAATTACAATAATTCTATTAAGATTTTCAAAAATGGTTTATTTTTTCATAAAATTTAAGGCCAGAAGGGACCATTATGGTCATCTAGACTCACCAACTGCATAAACTAAGCTACAGAACCTCTCCTAAGTTAAATATTAGGCAATGCAACTTTTGAGTGGCCAAATACTTATTGTCTAATTTTCAGAGGTGGAAAGCACTCTCAGTTCCCAGTTAATGGCAGCTGGGAATGTTCAGCAACTTTGAAACCCGGTCTGAAGCTGAGCACCTGAAATTAGAGGCCACTTTTGAAAATTTTCTCCTAAACAGAATAATCAGTGAGGTAAAAAGGTTTCAATCAGCATATGTTTGTGATGAGTGTTTTATTCACAAGTGGCAAAGCTACTCAATTTGCTCACACACGTATGCTAACTGCATGTGCCAGAATCAGGAATGGAATCCAGGAGTCAAGAACCACAAGCCAAACTGCCTTCCTTTTCAAATATATCTTTCAATTGCATCCTTAGGGTTAGGGTTTAATTAACCTCTTTTCAATTCACTTTATGTTTCTATAAAATGGGCATGATATCTCACATGAGAATGGCAATATACAACTCAACTCTGAGATCTTTGGACTAAATGTAACATATAGCCATTTTGATAATGTTTCATTGCACAGGAATCACGTTTGTCATGGCTGCAACTTTTAAATAACTAACATGCGATCTCTAAGCATGGTGCATTCTATTTCTTAACATGCCGCCTGGTAAGCATGGTGTATTCAGTGTGAAAGCACTCCATGAAGTCAATGGCAACTGTGTTTGTGTGAAGCATTTATCAAATCTGGCACTTGTTTTCAAATGGATTTATGTCAATCTAAAAGAGCAGAATTTAGTACTTTATATTCAGGTTTGGGCCAAAATCCTGCAAACCTAACTCACATTTTGACTGTTTAATATATTTAATATATTTCTGGACTATGGTCCAGTTTACTAAAGAAAGAATCATCCCCAAACCTAAAATTGTCTACCCTAGTTCAGATTTAGTAGCTTCTTTGTATTTAGAAGATACTTGACAGGCCATTAATTTGCCACTTTATGAGATTTAGAAAGTGGGTCTTAAGGCTCAATTCACAATATTGTATTTGAAAAGCTCTTGACTGACAATTAATCCAATGGACAAAAATCTGTATGATTTTCAGTCATACTTATTCTACAATAATGAAACACATGGTGCATTTAAATCAATTAGTATAAAATGAGAAATAGTTATAATTTATATGAATTGTACTATTCTTTCATATGCCCATCAGTGCCTGAAATTACTAAATGAAAAAAGAACCAACAATCATTTACCCATTTCACTAATAAATTACTAACATCTTAATATCTAGAAGTTTTTTTCTCATCTTAAATTTCCTCCCTTCTGAATTTCAGCCAATTACTACCAGTTATGTCCCTTTGTATTATCTTCTACTCCTGAAAAGTATGTCCAGAAAGTACAGGCTGACATTAATACCACTCTTACCCCCCTCCTGTTATTATCTCTACTCCAAACCCCACACTAATCTTTTTCTGGGTTTAATTAAAGTTTCATTTTTCGGCATAGAAATATCAAACATTCATTTGTATGATATTCATTTGTAACATTATTTGATAACGTCCAACAACCCCTCTCCCTTATGCCTTTCATAGAACTGCAGACTTCTATTCCCTCCACTCCACACACACTTTGAATAATCACTTAGCTAACCTATACATACTTATATCTTTTAAAAAATATTTCCTCAGGTGTCAATAACTCCTGTCCTCTAATTACTTAGGTTGCTCTGTGAGGACAATGATGACGCCAGGACAGTGCTCACTCTGCGCTCTGCTACAGTTGTCCTCAGCAGAGATGGTCAAGATGGAGATCTCTCACCTTCAAACAGTGGGAATTTGCAATAGAGTATACGCCACGAGAAACCCCCAGCCTATGCCCACCTTCCCACACACCCCTCCATCTGAAATAGACTGAGTTTATCAATCTTCTGGGCATGCTGTGAAGCACAGCGATTTACCTAGACTGTTGGAGGGGTATGATGGGGACTGTTTTGGGAGTCTGAGTATGGGGATAGGTCTTTGGTTAGGAGTTAGCTGATAAAAATATTTTTAATCAAAATAAAACTAACTTTTATCAAAGGCAGCTAGAGTATTTTTTGTATAAGTTAATACAAATCTAAATAAAACAAATCTCAAGTCAATGGGACCACTCACATGAGAAAGATAAGCACGATTTAGCTGCTAGTGAGGAAGGCCTCAAGTCAGCAAGATACTTGAGCATATGCCTAACTTTAAGCATGTTAGAAATCCAAATGAAGTCAATGGGGCCATTTATGTGTCTGAAGTGAGGAACGTGCTTAAGTATCTTGCTGAATCAGAGGTCAAAAACAGTAAACAAACTCCTTGGAGATATTATCAGCCCTAACTAAAGCCCCAAAGTTCTGAGTTATCATTTAGGAATTGCCCAGGCATCCAGGCTATTTAGAAAAAAAAGGGGGAATGGCTGAGGGGGCAAAAAACACACCCCACACTCAAGGTCTAATGGGAAGATGTCTTCAGTCTGTCTGAGGAAACTAGGTCTCTGCAACCTTTCACAAGAATGTACTGTTGGTGCTGCTGGAGAGATGTCCCCTCTGTCTGTGAATGAATGAATGAATTCAAAAATATATATAAACTCATATGAAACATTAAGACATTATATGATGTTGGTATATATAGTAGTGAAAAACAGGGAACTCGATGGAATCTCATATTATGATTAAATGAAGTTATAATCAACTTCCTTTTATACAGATAAGTGATACAGCTTTGAGCAAAATATTGTAAACTTTAATGTCAAGGGTAATCCTGTAAAGGAAAGATGGGGTTGTGTTCATATTGATTTCTTTTAGTTTAAGGTTAATATTTGCAATCAAGCATGCTTATGCTACCAAGTTAGTGAAAAACACCTGTGCTGAAAAAAAGCCATAAATAAAAGGGACTGAAACCAAATAGTATAAAATGACAGGTAATCAGAGTGAAATAAATAAACTTTTTAAACTGGTGCAGGCTCTGGGCTGGGAGTTTGGGTGCGAGAGGGGGTGTGGGCTCTGGGAGGAAGTCTGGGTGTGGGAGGGAGTTTGGGTGCTGGAGAGGGCTCAGGGCTGGGGCAGAGGGTGGGGTGTGGGAGTGGGTGAGGGTGAGGGAGGGAGTTTGGGTGCGGGCTCTGGGCTGGGGCAGGGGATTGGAGTGTGGGAGGGGGTGAAGGGGGTGGCGCTTACCTCAGGCAGTGCCGTAAAGCGACCAGCACATCCCTCTGGCAGTAGCTCCTAGGCAGGGGGCCGGGGGTCTCCGCGCACTGAACCTGCCCGCAGGCTCTTCCCCTGCAGCTCCCATTGGCTGATGTTCCCTGCCAATGGGAGCTGCGGAGTCAGTGCTCAGAAACTCTCACCCCTGGGCCACAGGGACGTGCTGGCCGCTGTTCCCTGGTGTGAAGGAGACACTGGGAGGGAGGGGGAGGAGTTGAGGAAGGGAGAGGGGAGGAGTTGATCAGCAGGGCCCGCAGACCCCCTGGAGAGCCCTCGGGGACCCCCAGGGGTCCGTGGACCCAGTTTGAGAAACGCTGGTGTAGGGGATCAGCTCTCTGGTGGGACAGACATCAAAACCGTCTGGCATCCTAGCTTGAGCGGGTGACAGACTAATGCAAGCCTCTTGGCCTAAAGGTGGGGAGGCTGCCACTCCCAGGGGACGGGTGGCAGGGGGGACGCAGGCCCACCTGACTCAACTGCATCCCAGCCCAGGGCCTTAATAGTGACGGAGTGGTCCACCACTGGGTCAGCGGGGAAATCCGGCTGCAACACACTGGCCGGCTTGCAGTCAGTAACCCAGCCGAACCCTATTCGGCTTCCCTGGGCTCCTTCCTACTCTCCCATTCAGGGAGTACCTGGGTTCTGGGGTCATCGTTCGTCTCACTGGGGTAAACGGCTAGTGGCAGCCCCAACAGCTCTTCGTTGTTCCCAGTGCCTGGCAGCTCTGACAGTCCCTCTGGGACTCTAGCACTGTAGCGGTCACCATCGGGTCTGAGCTCCAGCAGCGGGGGAGAGAGGTCCTGCTCTCTGGCAGCTCTGCCCCAACTGAGCTGGAGGGTCTGCCTTTTATATTTCCGGTTCCTATCCTGTCCCTTTGCTTCCAGCGAGGCAGTCGTGGGTGTCCCGGCTCTGCCCACCAGGGGCAGTCATGGCTTTCTTCCTGTTCCTATCCATCAGGGAGGGAGACCAGGCCCCCTCCACTACAAATTGGGATTATGTTTTCCAATGTGCACTGCTTTGCATTTATCAACACTGAATTTCATCTGCCATTTTGTTGCCCAGGCACCCAGTTTTGTGAGATCCCTTTGTAGCTCTTCGCAGTCTGCCTGGGACTTAACTAGCTTGAGTAGTTTTGTATCATCTGCAAATTTTGCCACCTCACTGTTTACCCCTTTTTCCAGATCATTTATGAATATGTTGAATAGGACTGGGCCCAGTACAGACCCCTGGAGGACACCACTATTTAACTCTCTCCATTCTAAAAACTAATCATTTATTCCTACCCTTTCTTTTCTATCTTTTAACCAGTTGATGTAGAGAGCATCAAGAATATAGATGGACTTTGTAAAAATTATATGAACTTTAAACTGGACATTTCAGCAGCTAACAGAGTGTTGATGGAGAAATTACACCTTCAGCATGCATAACTGCAAAGTTGTTCAAGGACGCCCTGCAGAGGGGCCCAAGGAAAGCAACTTGGGGAGGTAAGTAGCTGACCAGAGTGAACCTGCCTATGTTCAAGGTATGTCCCATGTAGGTTGTATC